GTCCCTAATAACCTTGATCTCACGGCTGTCAAGTATTGACTTGTTCCCAATGCCCGATAGCTCGAGAATCTTTGGGGATTGGAAAGCGCCAGCAGAAATGATAACCTCCTTACTTGAGACAACCGTTTCTGTTTTGTTTTCGTATCGGTATTGAACCCCAGTAGCCCTCGTGGAATCTGTAACTTCGAACAGAATCTTCTCGACATGAGCATTTGTCAGAACTTCAAGGTTGGCCCTGTCTTTTACGGGATGATAGTATGCTGTAGCTGCATAACTCTTTTCTTTCTTCACAGGATCAATGCTTGAAATACAACTAAAGGCCCCGACAGATATGCCGCGGAGTGGATCACTTGATACATGATAGCCTTTGTCCTTAAACATTGCTACCCAGGCTTCACGGACAGGATTATCTGGGTTGCCGGCGAGAGATAGTTGGACCGGTCCGTTTGGGGTGTCATATGGGGAATACCCGTCTACTCCTAGCTTCTTCCTTGAGGATTCTTCAATTTTCGGTGGTGTGAATACTTTAGCATAGTACTTGCGAAAGGTGCTCGAATCCCACTCCTCGTTACCAAGCGTACTCCAGGCGTTAATTGATCTGTCGGTAGGAGGGGCAAAGACCTCGGAGTTGATGGCGCTTGACCCTCCAAGAGCCCTGCCTTGATGGCAATCAATCTATCTTCCATTGAGATTTGACTCGGATGATGTTAGCTGTTGGCGTCCCTTTTGAAAGGAGATGTGCATACTTGAGGCTCAGTATGGAAATGCCAATCCGCTTCCGTCCCCACCAAGGCCGGATACAACGCCGGAATCTTTACTCGTGGGTCATTGCTAACATCCGTACCAGCTTCTAATACAAGAACCCGTTGATTTGGATCTTCGGATAGACGAGTAGCCAAGACAAGACCCGCTGTTCCTCCTCCCACAATCACAAAGTCATACTCTGCCAAAACCATATTCGAGAAGGAGTACACTTAGAACAATGGCAGATTGGAGTGAGATTGAATGAGAGTATCGGAATAGTCGGAGAATACTTTAAATACATGCTTAAATCAGGCTATGTTAGTTGTTGGTAAGCAAAAGTTCGAGTTGGTTTGCTGCTACATGTAGGAGGTCGTATGTCGACTGCTTCCCCCTTGCTTGCCGCGCCCCAACTGGAATTCCATTGTAATTCATTGGCTCTCTATTTCTGTATCTAACCATTCACTTTGTCTAGTTGTAGGCTCGAATATTTCTGAGCGATTTCTGGATCTGTTGCTTGATGCTTCTCTGGCCTCAGAGCAAATTCTTTTCTTCCAACTTGCATAACCAGGGCCATACCCCAGTATGAGGTATCCAACAAAAACCCTTTGACTAGGTCACGGCGACCGTTTCCAGCTGAGGCATTTCGTCATCGGAATGCTAAGACGGCCATATATAATACGTATACCGGTATTTCGAATGCTGTGTCAGCCCTCAGTAACAGATCGTCTTGTCTTTTTGAATCTACGGTATATCAAATACCGTAGACTCAAAGTGATTCTAGATTAAGAATCTTTGAATGGGTACGAATTTGTCTGCTTCTTATTCGGACCGCTTGAAGTAATAATAACGTGCTCTATCTTCAGGGAGATAATGTGACCAACGAAGTGTAACGAAAACTGGAAGCCCAACGTCGGGTTACGTACAGTATCAGGGGCACTGTGCCTGTCAGCAACCATCCAAGTTTCGGATAGAGTATGAACTTCTACTTTATCTAATGCCAGTCATCCTGCGACCAGTTACCATCGCCATTGTCTTCGCCATCTATGATACGACACTCCAATGGGGAGGCTCGTACCGGCGTCTTCTGCAACACGGCTCCCTTCAACTCCCAGCGGCTGGTCTGGTTAAGTCTAGGACCATACTAGACTATGCACTCATTATATCGGCCTAGACATGACCAACCCTCGGCACATCCAGATATGACTCGATGCCCGCAGCTGAATTGCGCACGATTATTCTTGAATTAAACAAGTGAGCTTTCGTATCGGCTAGTCCTTTTCCCAGAGGACCACTGCTGATAATATCGTGGCCACTGTCTGTTGAAAGGATTCATACCTCCGGGCGAGACTCATATTCGGATGTCTAGAGAATCTGGGGTTCGATCCCAATAGGTACCCGTTTTACGTTGATAATTACGTCTAGCCTTTAAATTCGTCAATGGCCTTATGAAATATGAAAGAGTGACTTTTCGCTTCGGTTAGGTCTCGAGCAAGAATAGCACTTTGTCGTAAGCATAACCCAATCGCATCACATAAAAAAGGACGTTTATCTTAAGCCGTAATACCAGGAGCCTCCTATTTAGATCCCACTATCAGTTATGCGTGTCGGCAGGCTGATCCGAGCCAGCTCATTGGGTCCAGAAGCCCAGTGAACGATCACGCAACTTTATCTCCGAGCACGTCAGCGTCGCTTGCAGGGTATCGACGCAACACCGCGCAATCAGGATGGGGATACCATAGCACCAAACCGCATTAAAATGAGGTCTACTATTCGACCCCGGACCTCGCGGTCGGTCGGTCGGCGATCCCTCTAGATAATTGGCTGGCGACATTGGCTGTGTGCTACGAGGTATCGCGATATTTAAGAGGTGAACCTCACGGTACCATAATCTTGGGAATGAACTTCGCCGCATAATTCTGGACCGTTATTTTCTGTTGGGAACGTTCCCACAGGCCCCAGTATGGTGCTCGAAAAGACTTTTGACACCGCCGTGACGGCTGGGAACGGCGATGAGGAAGCCGCACCAGTTAACGTGGATGAGTCTACCGTAGCGGATTGGACTGAAGCAGAGGAGCGTACTGTGAAACGAAAGTGAGATATTATCCCAACGAAGCATTCCCGACACAGTCTTAATAATTGTGCCAACTTTACTGACATTTTCAGGCTCGATTTCATTTTGCTTCCTATCCTGGGCTTGGCGTTTTTCGCATTGCAGATGGATCGAGGGAACATCTCGAATGCTCTGACAAGTACTATTACCCAAGATCTCGGCATTGACACCAATAAAATCAATGTTGGAAACAGTCTTCTATCGGCGGGCATCGTGCTCCTAGAGATCCCTTCCAATATCTTGCTGCAGCGTGTAGGGCCTCAGAAATGGCTCTCTTTCCAGATTGTCGCTTGGGGCTTAGTGGCTACCTTCCAGAACTTCATCACGAGCTACGGTAGCTATATTGCCACTCGGCTGCTACTCGGCTTGGTATGTAGGATGAACCATGGACGTTTTGTGTTCATGTATTGGATGCTGACGTTCATCTGCATAGTGTGAGGCGGGTTTCATTCCTGGCTCACTTTACACGATGTCGACGTGGTACAAGAAATCGGAGTCCAGTCTACGAATCTCCATCTTCTTCCTCGGAAATCTCATTGCGTCGGCCACTACCTCCTTGATCGGTGCTGGCATTCTCAGCATGGGGGACCGATACGGAGTAGCTGGCTGGAGGTGGCTCTTCATAGGTAGGTCACTTTACACAATGCGCCTCTTTGCCCGAGTCCTATGATCTGACCCGAGCTTCTCCCCCCTCGTAGTCGAAGGAGCCATCACGATCGGAGTCGGCATCATCTTCATTCTCTTCCTTCCGCCAAAGGTCGGAAACGGCTACCCGCTCATTAGCTTCGGCCGCTGGTCGTACTTCAACCGGCGGGAGTCGTACATCCTGGTCCGGCGGGTGCTTCTCGACGACCCGTCCAAGACCACGAACCACCTGCGCATTTCGGGCAGCGACGTCTGGACAACGGTTAAAAATCCTAGAATCTTGGTGCATATTGTCATTACGTTAACTTGCACGATCCCCGTGAACGCGATCAACACGTACGGGCCAAGCGTCATCAAGAGTTTGGGCTACGGCACGGTGAAGGCGAATGCGATGGCTAGCGTCGGCTCTTTTATCGCCGCCGCGGTGACGGTGGTCCTGGCCTGGATATGCGACAGCACGAAGAAGAGAGCGCCGTCGCTGTTAATTGCCGCAGTGTGGAGTTTGATTGCTTTTGCATGTTTGAGAGAGGCGTGGAAGTGGAGTGCAGGGAGGGAATACGCAGCAGTCGTCTTTTCGATGGCTATGAACTCCACCGTTCACATTCTTAATGTCGGGTGGCTGTCGGTGAATTGCCAGCGCCCGCAAGAACGCAGCGTCGCTATGGCGTAGGTCCCCATCCCTTGTCTCCTCATAGCCGCCGCATCCATGGCACTAACTTCGCAACATAGGATGATCATCATGGGCGCCAATGCTGGTGGCATTGCTGGGAGTCAAGTATTCAGAACGGAAGATGCGCCTCTTTACCAGAATGCTTTTACTGCCTGCCTAGTACTCTCCGCCGTGGTGACCGTGGAGATTATTGGGCAGAGCGCTTGGTATTTCATCAGCAATAAGAAGCTGGATAAGCAAGGAGATGGCCCTGTCGTGACTGGGACAGACGAGACGCCGGATGGACATAAAGTTGAGCTGGTAAGGAAATGGAGGTGGACATGGTAAACAGAATTTGACATTGCCCACACTGGGCTTCATGAGATAGCAAGTGATTCTTGCATACCGGTAGGCATGGCTCTCATGTATGAATTATCAACAATGTAATGTAATCCCGGGGCGGGTTAGCCAGCCATCTTACCCAGATTCATTGCGTAAATCGGCTCTGGGAAAGATCACTTGCCATCTCATTGGCATGTCCGTGTCCTCTAGATTTGAATACCTACCTCCTAGATCTACCTAAGCGGCAGGCAGTTTAATGATTAGTGCTTGAACTTGAGACTGTGGCGCTCTCCCATGGGCTTGAGCTTGCGTGGGGGTCTGACACTTGGCAGACAGTCCGCGGTGTGTGTGGAGTTTAGGTCAAGGCGGCGGTGAGCAAGCACCAATCGGCTAATTAGGGCAGATATGCGTGCTCCAAACACATCGAATATAAACCACTTGTAGAAACATGAATCCTCAACGAATCAGATCCAGCTTGGTTCCATTAGGATCCCAAGCTAAGATCACCACGGGCTTGTGGTTTAGTGGTATAATACTCCCTTAGCACGTGACGAGACACGGCGGCGTCTATATGATGACTGGCTTTACTCCAACCCGTCTATTCTGGGAGTGGTCCGGGGTTCGATTCCCCGCGAGTCCATCAGTAGGAGGTTAGATTCCTCCAATACCATCCTTTTTGCGTATTTTTTCTTTTTGAACATTTTGAGCTGGGGAAGTTCATCCTGGATCACGCTGGATCTGGTCACGTGGGTTCGATGTATCAGATGGCGAAGAGTGTTTGATGTACTGGCATTTGTCATTGAATATATGGCATGAAATACATGACTACAAATTAAATGCATCGTTTTCCATTTCCTTTTTCTCCAACCTCCATGATATCAGAATACGTAACAAGCCATCCACCCAACCGATTACGAAGATGTAAAACCCTCAAACGCGACCGCTCTGACATTGCTTTAGCAGCAGAAGGGCTTCTTCCTCTGGTCTCCTGCAGGATCATTACTAAGATGAGCTATGGAGTTACTCATTTCAAGACGGAATACTCCGTCGGATACGATTAAGACTGCAATATCCAAGGATATCACATCGCAATGTCGTCGCAACAGCGTCGCGGTGGTATTAAGAATGCGAGCTCGTATTCGGGATCGTGAGTAGGAAGCTGGAGTTTTGGGAGATGACGGATTCACATGTAAAACAGGGAATTTCTGAGCGGCATTAAAGCCACAACTACGATAGCCACATTATGGGGTTGTGGCGTTGGGGATGCCTTATTGTGTGTGGCTTGTCGAGTTCGTATTCGGGTTCAGGGGAAACATCAATGCTTCGACAGCGGCAGAGCAGGATAGAACGGCTTAGGCGGCCCCTGTCTCCACCTTCCTCTAATGCAGGTTCGGTGCAATCTGGTGCAATCTTGTTGGTCGAGGCCGCTGCCAAGCAAATTGGAAAGGGTCCCTCAGGCTTTGAGTGGGTACCTGCAATCAATTGTCGATAACGATACAAAAAATAATAAATGTCGTCGAAGACCCCTTTCTTGTTTGCACCGCTTCTCTCGAGACCGTATCGCCTGCACCAATTGTTCTTCCTACCATTCCAGTCCCTGAGTTGCCGTGTTTTACTATCTATTGTCCTTCCTAGAGTCAACTGTATTAATTAATTCTCGACCAATTCATCCATCCATTCAACATGTCTCCCGCACGGGTCGAACTCGAGAAGCAGGACAGAGCGCGCGATGCCGCCTTCAACAAGGCCATGCACGGCAACACCGCTCAGGCGGCTGGAGGTTTCCGCGCCATCATCGGAAAGAACTCCAGCGCGCAGAAGGCTGCCGTTGACGAGTACTTCAAGCACTGGGATAACAAAGACGCCAAGGACGAGACCGAGGAAGATCGCAAGAAGCGAACCGCTGAATACGCTACCCTGACCAGACAGTACGTTACAGATATACGCCGCAATACTCATACTTCTCAATGCTAAGATTATTCATAGTTACTACAACCTCGCAACCGACCTGTACGAGTACGGATGGGGCCAGTCCTTCCACTTCTGCCGCTACTCCATTGGCGAGACCTTCTACCAGGCTATTTCTCGACATGAACACTACCTCGCGCACCAAATTGGCATCAAGGAGGGTATGAAGGTGTTAGATGTTGGCTGCGGTGTCGGTGGCCCTGCTCGAGAGATCGCCAAGTTCACCGGCTGCCACGTTACTGGCTTGAACAACAACGACTACCAGATCCAGCGTGCCACACACTACGCCGCGAAGGAGGGTTTATCGCATCAATTGGCCTTTGTCAAGGGTGATTTCATGGTGAGTCCCCACTAGCACGAGCTAATATAGTCTCATTCATCTTAGTCGGCGAACTAACCTCGTATTCAATAGCAAATGGACTTCCCCGACAACAGCTTCGATGCCGTCTACGCTATTGAAGCTACTTGCCACGCGCCCAAGCTCGAAGGCGTCTACAGCGAAATCTTCCGTGTGCTAAAGCCCGGCGGTGTCTTCGGTGTGTACGAATGGCTTATGACCGAGGAGTACGACAACGACAACCTCGAGCACCGCGAGATCCGTCTTGGTATCGAGCAGGGTGATGGTATCTCCAACATGGTCAAGGTCTCCGAAGGTCTCGAGGCCATGAAGATCGCAGGTTTCGAACTCCTACACCACGAAGACCTTGCCGACCGCCCTGACCCCATCCCGTGGTACTGGCCCCTCGCCGGTCAGTGGAAGTACATGCAGTCCATCTTTGACACGCCCACCATTGCGCGAATGACGTGGTGGGGTCGCGCATTGGCACACAACTTTGCTGGCGCTCTGGAATTAGCCGGATTAGCGCCCAAGGGTACCAAGAAGACGGCTGACAGTCTGGCTCGTGCGGCCGACTGCCTAGTCGCCGGTGGAGAGAAGCACCTCTTCACGCCGATGTACCTGATGGTTGGAAAGAAGCCAGAGAAATGATCGACTAGCGAGTCGCTGTGATGCGGTAGATCGAGGGGGATAAAATGTGCTTATAAGCACGGTAATGAATAAAGAAGAAACGTCAAAAGCTTCTTAATGTTAATAATACTGAGCTGCCTGGGGGGTCAGGTCTCGACTGGCTGATTGTAGGACCCGCGTCGGCTCCAAGTTCTTTGTACATATGGCATGGAACTACCTATACTATACCTGCACTGAGAGCATTTGATTTAACTGGCGTTGTCGATGAATAGAGTAATTGGAAAAGATACCTACTATTCTTGATCCTAACAGCCCTGGATGTTTCCGCGCTTTGATTGCCTCGTATACATATACTCTTCAGACCATGCAACTTGTCTACCCAGGTGCGTAATTTGAAGGTCAGATATGCCTACCTTATGAACAGGAATCAGGTTGGTTCGGTTGGCGGCCAAGGACGTGGACAACAGCTCTCCAGAGAATACATACGGATTACCCCCAACGGAGGATTCCCCAATCGACTTCCGTTACGGCGTTACCTCTGACAATCTCGAAGAGAAGAGATGGCCAACATGCTAAACACTCCTAGACAGACATAAACCTAAGTATAATTGGTCCAAACAGGCATTGAAATATCGCTAATCCCAGTTTTCTATATCAATGGTTTGAATGCAATCTATTCAGTGCCTTGATATACATGTCCGTATAGATAAAGTAAAGGTACGAAGGTACATCTCTAGGTTAAGGGACTGGCAATGTCCAAGCTCCGATAACTCGGAAAAGTCGCGAGCTAAGCCCGATATAGCCTAGCGCGACCTTCTCACCTCAACAAGCTGTTCCTATTCCATCCGAAAAAAAGTTGGGAGAACAAACCGCGAATTGATAGCAACTCCAAAAAAATAAGGGCTGACGGAGAAAATCGCTCTTCAACCTCTCGTACCTGGCAATCATCACCACCATCGTCACCAACGACAAACCACGCCAACTTCTACGTCGGCTGGGAGTTCGGTCTCAATTGACTTATATACTCTTGTCCTATCCCTTCCTATCCCTTCCTATCCCTTCCAACCCCTCCGCACAACCCATATCCGCCCGCCATCATGTCGCGCTATCTTCGTCCGGCAGCTCGACTAGCTGCCTCTGCTCGCACCGCCGCAGCCCCCCGAGCTCTTACCCGCTTCACCCCTGCTTCTTTCGCCGTGTCTCAACGAAGGACGTTCGCCGATGTCAAGGGAGTCAAGGAATACACTGTCCGCGAGGCCCTCAATGAGGCTATGGCCGAAGAGCTGGAGGCGAACGAGAAGGTTTTCATTCTCGGTGAGGAAGTCGCCCAGTACAATGGCGCATACAAGGTTACGAAGGGTCTGCTGGATCGATTCGGCGAGAAGAGAGTCATCGATACCCCGATTACGGAAAGTGGTTTCTGTGGTTTGGCCGTTGGTGCTGCGCTGAGTGGTCTGGCTCCTATAGTGAGTAGAATTGAAAAGGCCGGGTTAAAGAATAGACAAGGGTTAACCGGATATAACAAATCTAGTGCGAGTTCATGACCTTCAACTTCGCCATGCAGGCTATCGACCAGATCGTCAACAGCGCCGCCAAGACCCTCTACATGTCCGGTGGTATTCAGCCCTGCAACGTCACCTTCCGTGGCCCCAACGGTTTCGCCGCCGGTGTCGCCGCCCAGCACTCTCAAGACTACAGCGCTTGGTACGGTTCGATCCCCGGTCTTAAGGTCGTCTCTCCCTGGTCTGCCGAAGATGCCAAGGGTCTGTTGAAGGCCGCCATTCGTGACCCTAACCCCGTCGTTGTCCTCGAGAACGAACTCATGTACGGTGTATCTTTCCCCATGTCCGAGGCCGCGCAGAGGGACGACTTCGTTCTTCCCTTTGGCAAGGCCAAGATCGAGCGTCAAGGCAAGGATCTCACTCTAGTCTCCCTCTCCCGTACCGTCGGTCAGTGCATGGTTGCTGCTGAGGCTCTAAAGAAGAAATATGGTGTGGATGTCGAGGTTATCAACCTGCGATCAGTCAAGCCTCTGGATGTGGAGACGATCGTCAAGTCCGTCAAGAAGACCCACCGCCTCATCTCGGTCGAGTCCGGATTCCCCTTCGCTGGTATTGGTGCCGAGATCCTGGCCACGACTATGGAATACGCTTTCGACTACCTAGACACTCCCGCGCAACGAATCACCGGTGCCGAGGTCCCCACGCCCTACGCCGAGGGTCTCGAGAAGATGAGCTTCCCCAACGAGGAGCTCATCGAGAACTTTGCCGCCAAAGTGCTACGCGTGTAAATGAGGATGAGAACTAGCAAATAGACGGGGAGTTTTGAGGCATGATGAGCAATGTACAATATTAATCATTTACTACTACCCGGTACAATTGTTTACACTGGATTCGGTGTCTCAAAGATGGCGGAGTCATTTCCCACAATGCAATGAAAAAGGATACCTTGATTTTGACATAGCTTGTCTCGTGCTTCTCTTCGTACATGCTATCTAAGGCACATACGACTTGCATCGTACATTTTCGGGTGTTATGGACCTATGAAATGGATGTCCACAAATTTGGCCGAATCGACTAATTGTGAATGAGGTCCTTCGTATGTGGTTCAGGTCGTATGGTGCTACCTTCTAGTTCGAGACGTATGGGCGTATGGGTACATACATCAACGTAGGCATCGAACGGTTTGGATGCAAACTTGCCTGC